GGCTGCCTGGTCATTCTCCTCCGTCTTACTCCAGCTCATCAGGTTCCTCCTGAAAGGGAGATTCCAGGGCCAAGGACAGTGTCCAGGGACCAGGTGGGCCTCAATCTGGTGCTGGCGTTCCAGGAACATGGCCAATGGTAGCCACGTGGAACCACTGGCTCACAAGCTTCCCCTTCACATCTCCTAGAAGGGATTCCTCCACTGACAAGTGGGGATGATGCTTGCAAGTGGGAATGACCTTTCGTCTCCTGCTTGGACACTGGGAATGTGGTGAGTAACTGTGCAAAGACACACTCTAGCCAGAGTCCAACCCACTGTGAGCTGGTTGAGAAAAGCAGGGGCTTGAGAAAGAGCTGAGAACAATTAGGCACTTTACCCCACTGCTTATCCAGTGACTCCTTGTTCTATTGTATTGTAATCAATCTTGAACTTGGGAGTAGGAGGCCCTGTCGGGGTGGGGAGGCTGTTCTGCGGCCTCTGTGTCTGAGCAGTGGTGAAGAAGCCTGCCCAAAGGCAGCCCACTTCTTTCCTCTCCTCCCTGGGGATGAATCAGCTGGTGGGAACCTCTTGCGCCTTGGGAAAGAAGGAAACACAGCCAATAGTAAGCTGATGGCTTCACTCAGCCATACCTGAATGGAGGCACTGTTCTTTCTGCTGAGACAGCTTCCAAAGCTGAATGATCATTTCCTTTTTTCTTTTAGATGGGGTCTCACTAGGTTTCCCAGGCTGGTCACAAACTCCTGGGTTCCAAGTAGCTAGGATTACAGGCATGTCCACTGAGGCTGGCTGAACCATTGTTTTCATTTAAATATAGCTCAAACCCTTCTTTAGCACTTGGCTAGACTGGCAAAATAGTCCCTGAAAGTAGCAAGACTGTCTAGATTCTTCTAACAACCTTCTCAGACTGATGAGCAGCCATTCACAGCACGGAAGTGGGGAAACAATCAATTCATCTATGCTGGCCACTTTGGAAAGAACCAGGCTCAGTCCTCCTTCCAGGGAGGGTTTCCATATCCCAAAATGGGGAGGGAGGCTGCCTTCCTGCATCCCTTCTTCTGCCTGCATTCTGAGTCCCTGGAGAGCTGCACCCCACCCCCTTCCTGACCGGTGAGGTCAGTGCAGATGCCCCCCTGCCTGGGCCCAGCACAGAGCAAGAGGGAAGGAACAGCAGCCGCTAGATGAGGCTCCCGAGGCCCGAGTTGAAGTGATCCTCGTGAAGGCTGTGGAAAGCTCCAAGATCCAAGAGGTCCAGAGAACAGGGTTCCAAAGAATAGCTTTGCTGACAAATTCTTACTGTGGGTACTCAGGCAGGGGTGTGGCATTGTTCAGCATTTATTAGTAAAACACTTTACACACACTAAATTATAATCTATCTAAAGGGCAGCTATGGCAAGATGCTAGTGAAGTTTCACTTCCAATGTTGCCCCAGGAGCTGTTGTTATGGAAGCTCTAACACTGTGTGACTGAGAGCTCCAGACTCAGAGTGGCCATGCATACGACTGGAAGTCCTTATGTTTTAAGATCTAAGTTAGATCAGCTCCGCAGGCTCCTTTGAGGCAGCTCTCCTCTTAATCAGGTGCTGAGTTCAGAGTAAATGCCTGTCTCACTTGCTCAGAGTGAAACAGACCTATAAGGCCCAGATACAGGCTCCAAGAAGGGCCCAGCATGGGGAACAGCCCATGAGCCGGCACGGGAATCCCAGAATTCTTACCAGTCAGCCTTCTTGCCTAGCGCAGTGGGTCTCAATAGCATGTTGGAAAATCTGGGGGCTCATCAGAAAGATCCTGGCTTGTAAGTCTGGGGTGGGACTAGGAATCACCACACCTGAGTAATTCCACTGCACACAGGACCACCCCACGCTGTGGGTGCCACCAGATGCTGCAACACTGTCAAGTCAGAAGCACCGAGGGAGCTCACCCTGGCAGTGAACATCCTGGCTCTCACCAAGGAGGCTCACTTGCCCAGCTACCAGCTGGCCTTGGCTCATGGCCCTGGCCACACAGGTGGCCTCCCCACAGCCTCTGCTGTCTTCCCATTAGTTGTCTAGCAGACTAGGGCTGAATCCAGTCTCCCACCCAGAAAATGAAAGCAGAGGGCATGCACCCTTCTATTGGCCCAGTGTGCTCTCTATTAGGAAGAACAGCCAAAAGACAATTACAGATGGAGAAATGACCCATGTTTCCTGGAGTTGGCCTGGGAGATGGAAACCTCTGTGTCTGCCTCTGCATTCAGCCCGACCTCTGGAGCAGAGAGGTCTTTTCTTCTCTAGCAGTGGAGAGAAGCTACCAGTGCCCTGAAGCTGCAGTGCCTCGGCCTCCACTTGATGGCATGAGGTAGAAGAGAAATGTTCCTGGCACTCCTGGCCTTTTCCCTCATGAATGCTGCAGTGAGTGAGCTTCTCTTCTGTAGAAATTCTTGTGCCGCAGTCTACCCACACATGGTGTCTGAGGCTGCTCAGGCTGCTCTACAGAATACCACAGACCTAAGGTTTTAGGAACAACAAAAATGTATTTCTCACAGTTCTGGAGGCTGGGAAGCTTAAGATCGGAGCACCAACAAATCCAGTGTTTGGTGAGAACCCCTTCATGGATGGTACCTTCTTAATGTGTCCTCACATGGTGGAAGAAATGCACCACGTCCTCAGGCTTTTTTTTTTTTTAAACAGAGTCTCCACCTGTCACCCAAGCTGGAGTGCAATGGTACGATCTCGGCTCACTGCAACCTCTGCCTCCTGGTTCAGGCAATTCTCCTGCCTCAACCTCCTGAGTAGCTGGGAATACAGGCACGACCACCATGCCCAGCTAATTTTTGTATTTTTAGAAAAGACAGGGTTTTTCCATGTTGGTCAGGCTGGACTAGAACTCCTGACATCGTGATATGCCCACCTTGGCCTCCCAAAGTGCTGGGATTACAGGTGTGAGCCACGTGCCCAGCCCTCGGGCCTTCTTTATTAGGGCATTAATCCCATTCATGAGGGCTCCAGGCTCAGGACCTAATCACTTCCCAAAAGCCCTCTCTCCTAATCCTACCTCCTTGGGTTTAGGATTTCAACACAAAAATTTGAGGGGGGACAAACATTTAGACCACAGCAGATAGGCTAAATAGCTTTCTAATGTGCTATCCTGAAAACATACCCGTAATGCATGACATGGCTGCTCTGGGAAAGTGCATTCTGAAATCCTCACATCTCACTGCAAGCAGACTTGGGGAACATCTTCTGCTTGTGAGCTGGGGACCGCCTGCATGACTCGGCCCGTTAGTGTGTTTCTGAGGCGGGAAGGGGAAAGCCCAGGACCTGACTCCAAGAGCCTGGCATGACTCCATCAGTGGGCACCTGGAACAGGCTTCCTCACTGAAAGGCCCCGGTGCCTCCCTCCACAGCTCGCAGTCAGGGATGTCAGGCTCTTGGTAAAGGGTCTGTGAATAAACATCTGTGAATGCTGCTTGGGCCAGTCCAGTTGTCCTACCTACCAATCAGGAAGCCAAAAGCCCCATGGCAGCGCTCTGGTCCAGCAGACAAAAAAGCTGTTTTCTTAAACTCTTGTCTTCACTGAGGTGATCTAGTGTGCTGTGGGACGTCCAAACCAGGAGATATTTGTGGATGAAAAGCCCCAGGAGCAGGTGCTCTGGGTTATGTTTGCAGTCCTGCCACAGATTGAGCTGTGCATTCTTACCCCACAGAGGCTGAGCAGAGCGATTTCACAGAGAACCCGGTGCCCCAGTTCATGTATGCTCATTGCCCAAATTATTTTACACAGCACTTAATGAGTGGTCAGATGCAGTGTCCCTTATTCAAATTTGATTTATACATTTGATGTTTATATGTGTTTGGGGACTTACACCAAAAAAAAAAAAAAAATCTCTTCTACTTTTCTGACAGGGTTGGAGCATGCAGCAAAAATATAATGAAGAATTAAGTTTTAATGGAAAATTCTGCAAAATTGCAAAATGTCATCATTGCCATATGGGAGGAGGTAAGGATACTGCACCCTTAGAGGCAGAAGTTCACGAATGTACACACCCCAGAAGGTGAATTAACAGTTCTACCAAAGTCTTCTGGGGTCCCTCACCCTAGCACATAAATATGCAGAGCACATAAATATGCACAATTAGGAAATGGTGGCCCCTTTAATTTAATGAATTTCTTTAGAAGAATGGGACCACAGGTTCTTTATGAAAGCCATAAAAGGGAAGAAGAAACAGAAAATTACTTGAGACCCATTAGAAAAATAAAACGCTTTCTTGGGGGTTGGGGGCATGCATGTCAGTAATCCCTTGAACAGCAGGATTGAAGGTTGAGAGAGGAGTCTGGTGTCCCAAACCACTTACAGCACAGACAAGACCGGCTTCTAAATGTCCAGGGAGCAAGCAGCAACACCCAACAAGAACATCATCTACTCTCCTCTACTGATGTCTGACCCAGGGATGTCCCTCTAACTCACTTGAGTTAAAGCAGGAGAGTAGCTAGGACTGAAACATGACATCATCTGAGGCATGAGGTGCATCTGAGGCACAATCCCAGCTCCTTTTCAAATATGCAAAACCCTGGTCATATAAAGCCATCTCCCCTCTGCTCATTCCTGAGTCAGCCATGAGGTGAGCTGTGATTTCCTAATGGAGTCCTGAACCAAAATGCAGGACACCCAGGACACCATCTAGACTTGCCGGGCCCACAGAGATGACATAAAACCCAGCTCAGCATGGAATAATGTGAGCCGCGCACTCCACTCACAACCTGTGTCAGAGGCAGGCGGCATTTCATCCCCATGGCCTGGGGCAAGGCCCACTCCCTAAGCCCTCAGTTACGAGGGGTTCTGTCTAGCAAGAAGACACACAGTCAACAGCCTCATTTGGGCTCTTGAGCCTTTGGAGGACAAGTCAGCTGCATCCCAACCCTCCTCGCCTCCTGGATCCCTGCTTCTTTCTGGGCCAGAAATCGAATACTCTTTCAGCAAGATCACACAGACACATCCATGGAAGAAGCTGAGATGAAACACAACTCTCATAAACAGGAACTTTATTAAACTACATGTTACATAAAAGAACATATAAATGGACCATTAAATACATTGTTTATCTTAAACAAATTTACATAGAAACTTATTTACATTTCTCCAATGTATTCTTAAATTAATTTTCCAAGCTTACTACCGATAAAAGGTAATAGAATGATCATCTGCTCACACAGATGCATACAGAATGTCCACAGGGCTAAGAAAAGCACCACTTCCCAGGAAATGCAGCTTATTAGATCTTCCAGCAACAACTCATGCTGAAGGTGCATTCTTCTGAGCAGCCCTTGAAGTGAGGCCATTGCTTGAGAGATGCCAGGGGTGGGTTCTGAGAAGCTGATATGGGGCAGAGATGGGTCCTTGGTGATTGACCTGACTTGCACGCACAGAGTTGGAAGGACCCGTGGAGACCATCATCGAGGCCATGGCCCCCTATCTGTGAACTGGCAAACAGGCTTGGGAAGAGGTGGTGACTTGCCAGTCACCCAGCATCCATGATAGACAAAGGGCCTGGGAGCTCGGAACCCAGGGTCCCTCCCAGAGGTCCCGACCTCTCTGCTTTCCACAAATCCACAAACTGAGGATCATGTTCATCCATTTCCCACCACCATGGACCTTCTGCTTTAAACTTTTTTGTCTACCTGATTAAATATATAACTTCTTAGGCTTCATGAGATGGTGAAAAGCTGCTCAGGATTCCCATAAGCATCTTTGTGGAGCCCCGGAAATACCTACTCAGGGCCATTTCTACAACAGGTTTTGTGGTCACGTGCTTTACTACTTCAGGCATAATATTTACCTTTAAAACTCACTTATGGAAGCTCAGCATTTCCAATTAATTTAGATGAAAGGCAACACTCTGCAGAAGGGAGGTTCTAACGTCAACCGTGCGTTATGGCATCGGTTCCCCACAAACGCATCCTATTTGCCTAGATCCATGTACCTACCAAGGTCAGATCTAAAATGGGGTTTCACTAATAAGTGACCCAAAATATTAAAAAAAAAGTTCCAAGAATTTTCCCATTTCCCAACTAGTCTCAGAGAAATCATGAAATGGGCATTAGGTAGAAAAGTACATGATTTTAACTCTTTCTTTTGAATAAAGCTTGATTTTTCCCCCCAAATTTTTCTGGATGATATACTTTCTTCTGAAAGCAATTTCATGCTTTTGGTCTGCCTGAAAATTGATTTGGTTCTTCTCAGGATTTAAAAACCACTGTACCAACAAAGAGATGTCAATGTTAAAAACTATTATTAAGAGACAGACAAGGAGAGAGAGAAGCTCTCTCCGGGCCATGTTAGAGAAGAAGGAAGTGCTGGGAGCACACAGAGAGAAGCAAGGCTGGGAGACAGAATGCTTTGCACCTCCCTGTAACCAGAGTGAACACAGGTCAAAGCAGCCTTCACTCAGTTTTATAACAGACACATGGATGGTGGAACGCGGGACTGGAAAGACACACACTGTCAAACAGCCCTGATGCCTTTCCACTAAAATATGGCACTTCAAGATTCCAGAGAAATCCAGCATTTTACCAGAGGCTGCCACCCATCTGCAGGGAAGCCTGCCCTGCAGCCATGAGGCCCCCGAGGTTCACACCCCGCTGCTGACAATGCACACCCTGAATACATGATTTCTGTCCAAATCCAACTTTCTCTCCTGTTCCTATAAAGACTCATACCCAGAGTCATGTATGTAGAAATGGGCAAGCCAGACAGTCTTCAGGAGACAGAGCCCATTACAGGATACCCAAGACTTGTGGGGAAGTCCAGTTGCCTGCAACGGACAACGTATGGGCAGGTGGAACTCTGAGGCCAAGGAACACAGGAAGATAAAAATATCTTCATTATTGAGGATATACTACTGGCCAGGTGTGGTGGCTCATACCTATAATCCCAGCACTTTGGGAGGCTGAAGTGGGAGGATCACTTGAGCTCTAGAGTTCGAGATCAGCCTGAGCAACATAGTGAGATCCCATCTCTACAAAAGATAAATTTAAAAAAACAATTAGCCAGGCATAGTGGTGCATGCCTGTAGTCCCAGCTCCTAGGAGGCTGAGGTGGGAGGGTCACTTGAGCCTAGGAGGTCAAGGTTGCAGTGAGCTATGATTACACCACTACACTCCAGCCCGGGAGACAGAGTAAGACCCTGTCTCAAAAAGAAAAAAAAAAAAAAAAATCCTGGAAGGCATTTCACTCTGCAAAAGGAACCCAAACTAAAACATGTCATTTTCGTTTTTTGAGACAGGGTCTCACTCTGTCACCCAGGCTGGAGTACGATGGTGGAGTCCTGGGCTCAAGCGATCTTCCCATCTCAGCCTTTGGAGTGGCTGGGGCCACCAGCATGTGCCACCACACTCAGCTAATTAATGTATTTCTGATAGAGGCGGGGTTTCACCATGTTTCCTAGGCTGGTCTCGAACTCCTAGGCTCAAGCCATCCACCCCTCTTGGCGTCCCAAAGTCGTGAGCCACTGCACCTAGCTAATTTTTATATTAAAAAGTAAATCTTTGATATATAAAAACTGGCCAGAAAAAAATCTTTGTTGACTTGTTTCATAAGAATGTCACCTTACACTCCTATTAAGTCTTTCTCGAGATCCGGGCTTTGGGGGAGGGTAGGGTGCACAGGGGAGGTGTGGCCGTCACAGGAACATGTCTATCTGGACACCAGACTGCAGTGGGGCTCAGCATGGCAGGCTGCAATCCACAGGCCTCCTGGACTAACCATCCTGACAGCATCACTAGCAGCGGCACCAGTGGCTGCTTTATCTGTAACAAAGACATGCTGCCTCTTTCCCCATCCTCATCCCAGAAGTCAGTCTACACCGTCTGAATCCCAGGAGGTGGGAGAGGACAGACACCCATCACTTCCATAATGGATTGAGGATTCTCCCCAGTGTGGTCCGACTAGAGTCCTTCCGACGGAGGGAGGCCCTTTCCCCAGCTCCTCTGGCCTTCAGAGGGGCCTCTGCATTGGCACTGGGACTCTCAGTAGACTCTGGACCCCTCTTGGGGACCCGGGCACTGCTGGCTCTCTTCAAAGTACTGCTGTCCTTGGGATCGGCATCCTCGGGGTCCCCTTTCACCCTCAGCTGCCGCTGCGACACTGTCCTAGTGATGCTGGGGACTTTGGCCATGGGAGGGAGATCAGTTTTCAAGCTTCGAGAGGATGAGGCCACCGTGTTCCGGGCAAAGCTTGGGACACGGGGTAGTTCATGGGGGATGCTGGGCACCGGAGGGGTCTTGGGCTCCTCTTTGGGACTCTCAGGGCCCTGGGAGTGGGTGCGGCAGGTTTTATTTTCCTCGGGCTTCTGTCTGGGGAGGTTCCTGAGTGGTTTGGCACTGGGCTTCTTGATAGAGCCCTTAGGCTGCAGGGGGGTGTCCCTCCCCGGACGGGCACTGCTGCTCCCCCGAGGCAGCCTCTGCTCCTCCACACTGGTGGAGGGCCTCCTGGGTGACATGTCCGAAGCTCTCCGCACGGAGTTCCGGCGTGACCACACAGTATCTGTGCTGCTGGGGGGATTCTGAGAGGGCCCCCGGGATGGGAGCTCTGGTCGCCTCCAGCTGGCACCTCTGCTGGACCTGCTGATGGGCATGACCTTGCGCATACTCTCACTCTCCGAGGCTGTCAGGGTCCGCACAGGCTTGGGCGCTAGCCCCTGGCTCCGCCGGGCACTCCCAGGCTTGGAGGCCCCAGGAGATGCCTCTTTGAGGGAGCCTCTCTTTGGTGCTACAACATCCTTCCTTTTGGTGGGTCTGTCCCTGGGCAGGCCACCCTTGCAGCTGGGCTCACTATCCACAGAGATGGGGGCAGGAGCCTCCCCAGGTGGGCTGGATGCAGGGTTGGAGACTTGGCTATCCCCCATTTCTCCAACCCCAGAGGACATGGAGCCATCCCCTTCCCCGCCTTCCTCCGGGTCCCCACCTCTGGGTCTGGAGTCGGTTCCCTCTGAGCAGTCCAGGGTCAGTGAGCAGTCAGTGGTGTCCGAGATGTAGAACAGAGGCCCGGGATCTTTGTTCTCAGGGTCGCTGCTACCCACAGATCCCAAAGCCACACTTCCAGGCTCAACAGGGGCAGCCTTGCCATTCTCCAGGACTGGGCTGAGACTTCCCAGGGCATTTCCATCCATGGGTGTCAGACTGCTGCTGCCGGCACTGGGGGAATGTGGGCCCCCATCCTCCACAGACTCCAGCTTCATTGGGCTGAAGTCACTCAGGGTCACCTGGGACATCCCCTCCATGCCTTGAGAACCCTGGAGGTTGAACTGGGCCAGCCCTGTCACCAGCTCATGTTCCTTAATCCCCAGAGCCAATGGCGAGAGAGGAGGGGACTGTGCTGAGCCCAGGCTCACCGGCTCACTGTTCCTCTTTCGGAGGATGCTGACGCCGTGGCGCCGAGCTCTGGCGAAGGCAGAGGCAGAGGCAGGGTCCTCAGGCTGGGTAGCTGGAAGCTGGTGTCCCTGTGCTGAGGGTGGGTTGGGGGCCTCCTCCTGGCCCCTCGAGGCCTGAGGTTTGTGTGCAAAGCTGGAGTCCCCATGCCTTGCCTCTTTAGGCTCCAGGCAGGCTATCGTGGGCCGGGCCTGCCGGGGGCTGCTCCGGGGCAGGCTGTGGAACTTGTTGGGCTCCTCGGGAATGCCAGTAGAGCTCTCCAAGAAGGTCAGCAGCTCCCGGTCAGCAGAGAGACCCAGGGAGTGACGGGAGCGGCGGGTGTTAGGGGGCCGGTAGGAGGGGCTGGAGGGACTGATGGGCCTGGGGTGCAGGAAAGGAGGCAGACCTTCCACACCCTTCTTAGCCAGCAGCTCCACATCGTTCTCGCTGCTGCTCCGGCCAAATGCGCCCAGCTCCCCAGATGCCCAGGAGCGCTGCTTCTGCTCCTGCTCCTTCAGCCGCTGCAGCTGCCTCAGCTCCTGCGCCTCCCGGTCTTGGTTGTCCTGAGGGAAGGAGAGAAGCCATAAGATGCGTGAGACAAGTGGAACCAATGTGCAGTTCCAGAGCCACCTACCCTAAGAGCCAAAGAAAGACACAGGCATGGAGGGGTGCTCTGGGTCATGCCCCACGCTGAGAAAGAGATTGTGTGTGTGTGTGTGTGTGTGTGTATGCGCGCGCGCGTGCGTGTAGAGGGAGGGTGAGACTCTCCAAAGCTACTGGGGATCTGACCAGAGCGGGGGAACGCAGTAAGACTGGCTGCAACGATCTATCTACAGTTTTCATCTGATTCTTGGGCCCAATTTCTAGCTTTCCAGCCAAAGCACTATACGCTCAGTGGAGGCTGCCATTCCACATGTGCAAGTGACCTCAACCCCCAGAAAGCTGAGTCTGAGCAGTACAAGACAGAGGACTTCCAGGAAAGTGCATACAGGCAATAACAGACAGAAAAATGCTGTGGCCGTTTAAAGAGTGAGCCTCAAATTGTATTTCTGTGGAGGGTGGATCTGTGCTACATATACATGTGTAGCACATTCTACTTGACAATGATTTGAATGTATTCACGTACAGCCACGACATTAAGAGACACTGTTCAACTCTGTTCCCTGACAGCTCCTGGTAAAGCAACACCACACACAGCATGGCGACTCTGCCAGCTGCAGCCTGCAGCACACAGCTCTGCCCCTTACGCCCTTGCCTGTTCCCACAATCAGAGAAGAGGAAGAGGAGCAGGTGTGCTTTACAAATCCTTCAACCCTTCACCCTGCTCCAGAGTACCCAGCCCTTCCCGTCGAAACTGCACCAGAACAAGCACACATACCAAAGTACACTCTACCACCTGGCTGTGCACTTTAAAAAGATTTGTGTCATGTAAATATGTGGATCCCACAGCCCAAATGTGTTATCATTAGCAGTTTTACTTGACAATCAAATTCCTCCAATGATGGCCTTTCCCTTCCAAGTTTCTGTGAGGCTCTAGCTGGGGATTCCTGGCTCCTCCCGCAGCTCTGGCCTCAGCCGCCTCCCTCGTCCCCAAGTCGCTCAGGCCTTCCTTCAAGGTTGCCTGCGGTGGGGGTGGGGCCAGTGCCTGGCTCTCAGGACAGCTGGGTGAGAGCATCACACAGGTGGCCTCACAGGCCTGTGGAATTCCTGGGAGTGAGGGCCTCATTAAGAGCCAACTTGGCCTTGACACCCATCACTGCCTCCCACAGCTGAGCTCACTTCTTGGCCAGAGGAGCGCAAACGTGGCCACAGGCTGAGCCTCCTTCTCTTAGCTGGATAGAGAGAGGAGGGGTTGAGAACACAAAGCAGTTCTGAGTTTGCGAGAAATCTGACCAATCCCTCAAAGAAATTCAGCTATGGACAAAGCTACATTCCAGCTGGAGGGGGAGAGATGACTCACGAGCCTTTGCTTCCTCACCACCACCCGAAATGAAGGGATGTAAGTGGCCAGTTTGCTTTTAATTGACAGACTAAAGTTTTACATGTAAAGCCAAGCAACACAGAGTTTTCTGGCTTCTACGTTAAACCCAGAGATGACTGGAATTGGTGGCTGAAGGGCAAGAAATGTAGCTGTTGTGCTCAGCATGGCAACAGGCTTTGTGGTTATCCAGGAATCTTGAAGACTGCTCTGGGGAGGACAATGCGGTTGCCGTGGTGCTGATCCCACAGTGATGGCGGTCAGCTTGGAAGAGGCGAAAGGGGAGGCCAGTGCATCATCCCACCACCACAGAAGGCTCCCTGAAAGAGTACATTCTCTTCTGGGAGAGTGTGAGAAAGACATTCAGGATCTTCAAGACTTTTAAATGGTATGACTGCCATCAGGGAGGAACTTTACTAACAAAATGTTCTCAAGGCATTACTGTGAGTGTCAGGCAGCCTGAGGGTCTAAGTAGCAGAGGCAGTCAAATGCCCAGCGATCTATGCAAGCCTTCAGGGCTGGGATGGCAGAGCCACTCCCAGCCGAGAGCCTGGCAACGCCACCTGGGCCAGACGTTCCTGAAACCATGGAGATGCCGAACTGCCTTTCTGTGGTGAGCAGAGGGCTAGGTCCAGAAGAAGGAAAATAAAAATCCAAGCAACCCCAAGACACAGATGCTGCCAGCCATACCTTAACTGCCTTGTTGAATTTGGTACAGAAGTCTCTAAATATCTGAAAGCATTCATCCAGCTTCATGGTTTTCTTGTCTTCACAGAAAAAATCTATAAGGGTGTGGGCCTCGTTCTGGAGCTCTTGTTTCCAGCATTCCAGTTCCCTCAGCTTTTCTACGGCAAACTGCAGAAAAACAAACGAACACACACTGAGGTAAACATGCTCAGCTGATGCAGCGCCGGGCCCTGCATCAGAGGCCCAGGGAAGACATGCTCTGGGGCTTCATTTCAGGTCTTGGAAAAGGCAGGCTTATTGCAAGGCCAGTGCACTCAGAGCCAAAAGGAAAATAATTCAACCCACACCAAACCTCGGGGAAAGCAAGATGAACTCCTGTGTGAGACCGAGTCTAAACAACAAGATAGATTTAAGAGCTTTAACCTGCAGATTGTCAATAACAAAATGTTCACTTTTAATCTCACTGAAAAAAATTACACAGGTGACTCCTTGAGACCAGCCTGGGCAACACGGTGAAACCCCGTCTCTACTAAAACACAAAAAATTAGCTGGGCGTCGTGTCAGATGTCTAAAATCCCAGCTACTCAGGAGGCTGACGTGGGAGAATCACTTGAACCTGGAAGGCAGAGGTTGCAGTGAACCGAGACTGCGCCACTGCACTCCAGCCTGGGAGAAGGAGAGAGACTCCATCTCCAAAAAAAAAAAAAAAAAAATTGAGTCTTACACTGGCCAAGAGTTTACTTTAGGGTCCCTGAAGCTACTCGCTGTATTGATGCATTATCAATTTTGCCCCACTGAGAGGGTGTTTAAACTTAATCCCCACTGAGCTCTGTGAGGGTCAGGGTCACCCCTGCGGGACCAAAGCCCTCGTACCTAAACCAGGGGTGCTGATCCAAGTCAGCTGGGAAGATTGGCAACAGGCCATGCCTGCATCTGCCCTGTTCAATTTCGGAGGTTTGGGATGGACTCAACACTGTATGTTATGAAAGCCCCATCTTAGGAGATTGTGATGGATCCTGATGGCTAGGCATTACTGTCCTTTACAAATCCATCCTCTTCACTTCATTTTCTCCTAATTCTTCTACCAAGTAAGTCTCTGAAGCCCCTATTCTGTTGAGGCAGTAGCCTCAACACAGTGATGGGAAGGAAGGAAGCTTATTTTCCTCCAGTGAGTCCCAAGCCCTTCAGCATGGAATCTGCCATGTCCAAGGCATGACTGATGGCAGTTCAGTGACAACATGGGGAGCTGGATGAGGAAGCAGTATGGTGCAGGGAAGAAGGGCTCCAAAACAGCCATAGCCCACGCAGAATGAACATTTGGAATCACACTGAAGTCTTATGTTGAGACATAAGGCTCCATTACCCAGGCTGGAGTACAGTGGTGTGATTGTGGCTCGCTGCAGCCTCGATCTCCTGGACTCAAGCAATCCTCCCACCTGGCCCCCTGAGTAGATGGAACTATAGCTATACACCACTGCACCCAGCGAATATTTAAATTTTTTTGTAGAGACAGGGTTTCCCTATGTTTCCCAGGCAGGCCTCAAGCCATCCTCCCACCTCTGCCTCTCTAAGTGCTGTGATTACAGAGGTAAGCCATTGTGCCTAGCCTATGTTGCTTTCTTGTTTACTGGGAAATAATGGTTATATAAAGAAGGAATGCATGAAGTGTGTTACTTTATGAAATCGCCTGTTATCATGTTTTTAAAAAGGTCATACTTGAGAGCTTTTTTTGAGTAAAGCGGAGGTGTGCTGGGAAATGGTAAAGCAGAAGCTGTCCACTCAAGGAGGGAGCTGCTGTTTGAACCTGCTTGGAGAGCTACAGAACCTACAGAGAAATTCTGTGAAGACCCACTCCAACCCACTTTCCCCCTTCAAAGCCCTTCTCTTAAACCAAACACACTCAAGAGGTAGTAGGAAACCAAAACTATGTAGGAAACCAAATACCAGAGAAAGTAACCATCTGAGTCAGTAGCCCAAGGCAGTGTGTACATTCGTGCTGTATTTTTTTCTTTATGGAGGAATGGTATTAATGAAAGGATAAATCTTTGCCTGTCATTCTTCCACAGGGGGAAAGATGGATTCCAGCCAAGAACAGCTCAAATGCAGAAAAATAGGCCTCCTAACAAGAATCTACATGGGCGCTCAGCTCCACCTCGTATGTTTCATCTCTAGGTCCTGTGGGGATTGACAGAGTACCAGGAAGGAAACTTATAAACACACTGAAGTCTCCCTTTAGACTTGGGAAAATGAAACATTCTGGATGTGGATCTTAACAGCAACCATACTTGGAATTATCTGCCATGAGTTCAACATGATTAGCGCCAGAAATACAGAAGTTCAAAGCTACACTGGCAAAGCAAGAATGACAACAGGTTAGCAGCTGTACTGTCAAATTCAACTTTACATCTCTAACTTGCCTGCTACAAACCAAAGTTTCAAACAAATTTACTCAGTATCTCTTGCCCCCAAGGGTGAAAATGCTGAACTAGATCTGCAAAAACATGTGCCTATGATTTTTCTGCTCTGAATCCTTGAAGAGTTCCCCACTTCTTATAGCATGCAGTCTGAGTCCAGCATTCAGACTGGTGTTCAGAGACCCATGTGGCCTGACTCTGACCTACCCTGAAGAATTTTATCTTACCTATTCAAAAGAAAGTTGCATTTAAGACAGAAAAATACATAGCTATATGAAATGTTTTACTTATAGAGATAAAACTGACAGCCAGGAAGAAGTGTAAAGGGTTAAAACAAGATGGACTGTGAAAAGCAATCTAGAGGTAAGGCTAAGTCAAAGCTGTTCTTCATCCTAAGCATCTCCGTATGAATACTGCGTATGAGATGGTAATAGTTAATACAAGAACCTAGAGGAATAAGACATCCAGAATTTTAATCTTGATGTGCGATGATCTTTATTCTTGAATTTCTGGATTTAATGTGTTCGTTTACTGTTTTAGTATTTTTGTGGTGGCAGTATTTGCTTTGTTGTTGCACTTTGATAAAAATCTGTGCCCTTCAACAAGAAAATTAATTTGGTTTTACTTGAAAGAAAATATAGGGCAGATGTTTAATAATAAAAATAAACTCACAGCAGAGCCAAACAAAATCAAGCATCTGCTGAAGGTCATAATATTCTGAAGTAGCTGAATTAAGAAGCGAAGGTTTCAGTTGGCACAACCTCGGGAGCACTCCGTTTCTCCCCAGCGCCAAGGGCAGCCCTGCCACACAATTCCACCTCACAGGTCTCAAAGCACTAATAGCACTTCAGGTAGCACAGCCTTTCGCTGAAGACTAAAAGCATGAGATAGTGCCTTTTTTTTTTTTAAATAAGGAAGATAAAAGAAGTATGTCAGACTATATGATTAGTGAGTCACAATGAGCTGTCACAAACATGTCCACTCCGCTGTTTTTTGTTGATGTTATTTGGAGCAGCTCCCGACACACCCTGTGGGCCGTGTATACTCCCAGTGTTGACGGGCATACCTCTCGTGTGTTCTGCTGTTCTCATTATAAAACATGCCAAAACGCAGCTTGTTTCTTCAGTGTAAACAAGTGAGGAAATGACAGCCCAAGTTCTAAGGCATCTTGATTTCTGTGGAACTTCCTTCTGTTATCCAAAAGTTTAACTGGTTTAGAAACAAAACTTGAGTTGCCAGGCAGAGCCCAAGTGCAGATCCATTGCTGATACCAGTTCATCACAGTAAAGTGCAATCATGCAAACTGAGCAGTGAGTAACAGGAGCCTCGTAGAAGCACCATCACTAAAGAAATACATCAGGATTATGCTGGGTGCAGTGGCTCACGCCTGTAATCCCAGCACTTTGGGAGGCCCAGTGGGGGCAGATCACCTGAGGTCAAGAGTTTGTGACCAGCTTGGCCAACATGGCAAAACCCTGTTTCTACTAAAAAAGTACAAAAATTAGCCAGGTGTGGTGGTGCACACCTGTAATCCCAGCTACTCAGGAGGCTGAGGCAGGAGAATCACTTGAACCCGGGAGGCGGAGGTTGCAATGAGCTGAGATTGCACCATTATATTCCAGCCTGGGCAACAGAGCAAGACTCCGTCTCAAAACAAAACAAAACAAACAAACAAACAAAAACAAACACATCAGGCTTAGATCACATTTAACATTCTCTGCAAAGAATGGGCATGGAAGTACCAAGTTCATGTTACTAACTTGGAGAAAAAAATATGAATGGGAACTGCTGCTTCCACAAATATAGCCATGCAAATTTAACCAGCCCCAGGGTGCTGCTGGGAGATGAGATTAGAGGGACTGACTTGAGTCACCTACAAACCTGAAGAAAATCTTCCATCTGCTGACAAAGTTCACCATCCCGCTGGATGTTTTCTTTTAGTGATCTCGTCCTGACAAACAGCAAGTGCAGTTCAGCCTCTGTGTTATCCAGAGATAATCTAAAAGAAGAAAGGGGAGTGGGCAGTTGGAACAAGGAAGCCATGTGTCATGTGGGTATATTAAATAAGACTAACTGTCACTCAACCTTGGAAACAGAAGGGGAGAGCTACTGTGCTGACCTTTACCTATTTCTGTATTTAGATCTTGTGCATTTCTCCTGTTTTAAGAGGTGACTCCTTTCTAAAGACATACACTGGTTCAAAGAGAACACGCTGTAATTGTGCTCTTGATGGTGAGATAACCAAAACCACGAGACCTGTATACCTCTTCATAAACTAGCTCCAATGAGCATTACAAACTAAAAGCCAGCAGGATTCCGGGATTCATATGCTTTCCAATGGGCCACTAAACACAAATATGAAACTAACCCACAAGAAGCAAGGCAATGTATGTTGATAGCCCTAATACTAAAGGTAACAGTGAGAGAATATAGCAAATTCCATGTTCTTCACCACAGGTGGCCAGAGCAAGATTTCTGTTTTACGGAGAACTAAAACACAGCTAACAAATCTGCAACTTTGTTTTTTTTGAGACACAGTCTTTCTCTGCACCCAGGCTGGATTGCAGTGGCCTGATCTTGGCTCCCTGCAAGCTCTGCCTCCTGGATTGAAGCAATTCTCATGTCTTAGCCTCCAGAGTATCTGGGATTATAGGTATGTGCCATCATGCCCAGCTAATTTTTGTCTTTTTAATAGAGATGAGGTTTCACCATGTTGGTCAGGCTGGTCTAAAATTCCTGAGCTCAACTGATCTGCCCACCTCAGCCTCCCAAAGGGCTAGGATTACAGAGGTGAGCCACCAGGCCCAGCCATTATTTTTTCTAAAGATACAGTCTCACGCTGGGCGCGGTGGCTCAAGCCTGTAATCCTAGCACTTTGGGAGGCCAAGGTGGGTGGATCATGAGGTCAAGAGATCGAGACCGCCCTGGTCAACATGGTGAAACCCCGTCTCTACTCAAAATACAAAAAATTAGCTGGGCATGGTGGCATGTGCCTGTAATCCCAGCTACTCGGGAGGCTGAGGCAGGAGAATTCCCTGAACCCAGGAGGCGGAGGTTGCAGTGAGCCAAGATCGCGCCATTGCACTCCAGCCTGGGTAACAAGAGCAAAACTCTGTCACAAAACAAAAAAAAAAAAAAAAAAAAAAAAAGATACAGTCTCACTCTGTTGCCCAAGTTAAAGTGCAGTGGTAAGATCATGGCTCACTGCAGCACTGACCTCCTAGGCTCAGGTGATCTCTCACCTCAGCCTTCTGAGTACTTGGGACCACAGGTGTGCACCACCACACCCAGCTAATTTTCAAATGTTTTGTAGAGATGCATCTTACTATGTTGCCACTGGTCTCAAACTACTGGGCTCAAGCAATCTTCCTGCGTTGGCCTCCCAAAGTGCTGGGATCACAGGCATGAGCCACCACACCCAGCCCTAATTCTGCAAATTAACGGTTGGATTGACTGCGATGCTTTTATTATATACATCAAATCAAGATAGGCAGAACGTGGGCTGGTCTTGTGGCTCAGGCCTGTAATCCCAGCACTTTGGCAGGGCAAGGTGGGCAGATCACCTAAGGTCAGGAGTTTGAGACCAGCGTGGCCAAAATGGTGAAGCCTCGTCTCTACTAAAAATAAAAAAATTGGCTGGGCATGGTGGCTCATGCCTATAATCCCAGCACTTTGGGGGGCCAAGGTGGGTGGATCATGAGATCAGGAGTTCAAGACCAGCCTGGCCAAAATGGTGAAACTCTGTCTCTACTAAAAATATAAAAATTAGCTGGGCATGGTGGTTGGCACCTGTAATCCCAGCTACTTGGGAGGCTGAGGCAGAGAATTGCTTGAACCTGGGAGGTGGAGGTTGCAGTAAACAGAGATTGTGCCACTGCACACGAGCCTGGGTAACAGAGTGAGACTCCATCTCAAAAAAAAAGAACAAACAGAAAAATTAGCCAGCCATGGTAGTGGGTGCCTGTAGTCTCAGCTACTTGGGAGGCTGAGGCAGGAGAATCACTTGAACCTGGGAGGCAGAGGTTGCCATGAGACAAGATTGTGCCACTGCACTCCAGCCTGGGTGACACAGACAGGCTCTGTCTCAAAAAAAAAAAAAAAAAAAGATAGGCAGAATGTGAATGATGGTTTTGTTTCACTGACTAGGTGAAACCTAAAATGCATGTGAAACTCATAAATTAGGATGCATTCACGCTTCCATTGTCAATTCGAATTTTTCTTTGTGCAATAAGTTTTCCACCTTCACTGGTAACTGGCACGTATCTATCTGTTTGTACTTCACAAGTGTATTTCATCTGCCATTTCAAATAAACAAACTTGCTGAATAGAGTTTTTCTATGTCAATATCTAGCTCCAATCCAGCTCTGACCAAAAATGCCATTTCAAAAATATAATGCTAATTTCTACCTACATATCTTGTAAGAACATTTTTAAACTAATCAGAGTAAAAATGTTCCCACACAAATTTCTTTCAGTAATTCAAAACCAGAAAAGTTCCTATAAGATGTCTATTCTTTTTGGAGAATAATCTAGGGATCTGTAAACATAAATTACGAACTGTTTACACCTTTGAACTGATAATCCCACTTTGGAAAAGACATGTCATCTTGGCTAGATGTTCACAGAATCAGTAACTTTGAGATACTAGCCGGTGGCAGAGCTGTGAGCTACGGTTCCTTTATTTATATGTATATGTTCACAGATGTCATAGCTGGAAAGAGTCACTCAAATAATAAGTCTATGCTAGGAAATAAGTTGACACATGAAGTGGTGTGTTGAAGCTGCTCATGAGAACCAACTGTGGGTGTCTCTTCCTAATTTGCATTCAGCAGTGCATGTCAGCAGCTTGACATCAGCCACAGTGGCAGTATTTACAATGTGGAAATCAGTAAATGCTACAAATCAGGACTTTTTTCTACAAGAGCTGGTTATCGAACATTTGTCATGGGATGTGAGGATGTAATATAAATTTAAAAACACATGTACAAAAGTCAAAATAGCATATACACACAGAGTCTAGCTAGATTAAGATACATATCTATATTAGGATCAGAAGCAAATTAGAGTGATGTAAATAGAGTCTTATGTTTGGCAGATACTTTCTCTGTATGTGCCTTTCTCTGTGAGTGATTAATGTAAAGTAAAATAGTTTCACAGCTCTTGGTATGGTTCCAACCCCTTTTAATGCAAAGCAAAATAAATGCACCATGTTAGCCTCTACAAGGAAACAATGACATGTGGTCGTGAAAGTCTGATTGATATATACCAACTCCCAAGGTAATAGGCGGTGTTGTTTAAGCTCTGTCTCTTGGGTGTGGAGGGATTTAAAATTCTTAATCATATTTTTTGTACTGATGATATTCATTAGAATATACTGAAATAGTTTCTTTAGTTTAAAAATAAAGATTAATTTTTCAAAACCCCCAAATTCCAAAGGTGCCCACACACCTGTGTTAAGCAAATGAAGAACAGTCTGAAAGTTCAATGAAACAAAACTTTTTAGAGTTCAAACTGGAATCTAAAAGTTTTTGCCATTTATCAGTTTTCAATAAAAAGGTAAAGAATCTTGAATTCTCACAATTCACTTGCTCACCTAGCAGTCTTCTGAACATTATGTAATTTTTCTGAAAAGTTTAGAAGAATGGCATCTTTCTTTTGGGCTTCCTGGAACAAAACAGAATTTTCTCACTATATTGATAAAACTGGAAGGAAATAATTTTCTTAGGGCTTAAAGAAATCTCAAAATCACTGCTCCTGTTTTTAAACTTGATACATTCAAAGCATTTCACACTGAGACATGAACTCTGATACTCATAGATTTGCCAGAACTCTTCTACTCTCAAGATACATTTAACTTTCCAGAGCAATTGATCTTGATGAAAATACAATTCATGTGCATTAAAACTCAATGGAAGGTGGCGGTGGCTGCAGCTTAGCAGGGCCCCTTGTTTCTGAGAGAATCCAATATATCCTACTTAAACACCACCCATACCTATGAGCATGCCTTTAAATGACAGAGATACCTTCAGCTGTTAAACCAGTTTGCAAACAGTTTAATCAGAAAGTACACAAGCCATGGCAGTGTCTGGATTCTTCACCTGTTCAGAAGGTGAACGAAAGGCAGGTGGGAAGGAGGCAATGACTGACTCAGAAGGCTTCCCCACTTGGGTAGAGACCATGTTACCCAGAGTGTCGGGATGCTTGGATCCAAGAGAGCTCTGCCCAAATACTATCTGCAACCTATGCTGGGCAAGGAACACATTTTCTTCTTTTAATGCCTGAAAATTAACCTTTCAATCAAGTCCCAAGTTAAACATGGCCCTTTGTCTTTTAAAGAATATAGTAATCATGGTGCGTATCGTTATTTATGGAGAGCTCACCACAGGCCAAACACTGAGCTAATATGGAATCAGCTCTTTCAGCACTCTCAATTATCTAGTTTTGGGGTAAGTTATCACTACTCTCACCATTTGATTAAGAAATTGAGGGTCTTCAGGTTTAAGTAACTTGCCTGAGGAAGTACAGCTAGCGAAGGACAGTCGAAATCTCCCAGTCCTGTACCATTCTGAAGCTCACATTCAAAACAAGACTGCACTACGGTTCCCTCCCCAGGTTAAAGCTACGACTGCGGCACTCATGACAAAACAACTGACTGATTCAGCAGAGGAAAAGCAAATCAGTTCAATTAGTTGAGATCATTTCAAAACAAAGAGATAACGGTCCCTGGATGATTTTCACTTTGTACCTAGCTCTTTTGGTGTTACAGAGACCCAGTTAAAAAAAAAAAAAAAAAAAAAAAAAAAAGCAATAGATAGGGTCAGACCCCAAACCTGTGTTAGCAGCAGAGCATTCAAATGCATCGTTCACAGACAAAGACAGAAGTGACCTTTCTACATATAACTGGTCACAAATCTAGTCAATTCCACATCAGAAATATTTCAGTCCTCCAACTTCTATTCTGTGTCCCTATGGCCATTACCCTCCCTCAATGCTCACCAGACAATTACAGCCAACTTCTGCTGAGGTGTATTCCTATTTCTAGTTCTTTCTCTACTCTAACCCAGCCTCCATAGTGCCTTATTTGCCTAAAAACAAAAACAAAAATGCTCCAGTCAAGCTATTACACTGTGCACAAACTTCTATTGGTTCCCCACTGCTAAAGCACGAAATCCAAATTCCCGGCCTTTGACACTTGAATCCTTCATATCTGGCTTCACCAGCTTCTCTGCTTCACTCTCCCACTTCCCTTCAGCCCTACAGCCCTAGGAGCAGTACAATTCAAGAATTTGCAAACAGCGCTTCTATAAACAGAACCTTCTTGGAAATCACCATGCCCTTTCCTAACCCTGTTTGACACCATCTCATGCCTGGAAAAAACTTCACTGCCTCCAAGGGGTATTCATATGCATTCTCTAAGTCCTAATCATTTCCACACACCTGTGCAACAAAGTGCAGGAGATTCATCCCAGGTTTGTTTGCTTTTGTGTCTGCCAATTTCAGCAAAGAAGACAGTTTAAATCCTACCGCATTGCCGGCATACCCTCCCTAAAGAAGACAAATCAGAAAGAAAAAAATTACACGTATGTGAAATATATGTATAATTATGTGTATATATACACATACATACACATACACACACACAGAGACACACCTATAGATAGGCAAATAAGGTTGAAAACATAATATTACAATTGTTTTGGATTATTACTTACTGCATTCATGATATTCCCAGCCTGGAGCACCAAGTGTAATATAGAATGTAGCTCTTCACATGACATCAGTTCTATCAAAAAGAACACATCGCAGCATCTTAGAGAAGCGTTCAGATTCAAATGCACAAAGAACAGCTACCACATTCAAGTTCAAGTGTGTCTGAAGCAAGCTGTGACCTTAAACTGTATATAAAACTGAAAAAACAAAAAAGCAATATATTCTGTGGTATACCTAACACATCATTTGCTACCGGCAATCCATGCCATAGTGTTTACTTGGAAATCAAATAGGTATGACAGCTGAATAGCACACAATCGTTCAATAATAAAAATTTTCAATTAGTGAAAAATGTAAAAGCCTAATGCAAAGCAGTATCCTGTGATACAGGAGTTAATTTTCTTCTCAGCAGTTATTTAATTTTTCGTTGTACAGCCACTATTTTTTGAGACTGCATCTGTGGAATATGAAAACTAACAGCAAGCAACATTTTGCTTAGTCAATGAGTTATGAAGAGATAAAAAATAAACAAGCTGGGATAATATGTAAATAATTTGCAAAGCACTAACCCCAAGGGCCCAGGCACCCAGGGAATCTTTTCATTTTATTCAAAGCTACACATTTCATTTGTATTGGCTGAAAGTTTTAGAAAGAAACTTATCATTGTAATACATTGGTAAACTAGTTCTTTATTAACACCAAATCCTTTGTACACCCATGCAAAGAAACAAAAGTTAAAATTTTTAATACATTTAGAAAGGTAAAAAGAAAACTTGATTATTAAAATTACACTATCAATAAATAAAATGTTACTGATATTTTTAAGTTAATATTCTCCATTAAGTCGCTAATACTTTCAAAAAATTACAGTTGGATCACTGTCTATGTTGCGTTATCTAAGAAGGCCAGTTTTGGAAGGGTAGCCAGATAAGAAATGTTTCTACCATACCCACAAGTTTGCACTGCTCAATATAAAAACATATTCGAAAGTTGTTGCAATAGTGTTAGTATGAAAAAAAATTTTAAAGGCCTCTATATTGGAATTTTTAAAAATTCTTTTTCCTTCTTAGTCTCTTCTCTAAAATGAAGAAAATATGATGGGCCAAAGAGAAAAATTTTATCTCAAAACAAGCCAGAGCAAGTAAACAGGAAAACCAAATAGGAATAAACAATTCTATAACAATAACTAGAAATCCAGAAAATGACAAAAAGGAAATCAGGCTGGCACTGACAAATGCTGAAAAGTGTGAGCATCAGGGAGGTCCAGAGAGTACGCCTGGGAGATGAGAAGAAGGCAGTTGCAACTCTGCCGGCATTCTCAGTGCCAAGATGCCAGAAACCAAAGTTATCACCCCTACGGAAGCGGACACTAAGGCAGCTCTGAGAAGAGGCTGTCCACGCTGGGCAGGCAATAATTTAAAGAGTTGTTTAAATAAATGAAAATGGCCTATCTGCCCCTCTCAAATTTAAACAGCACAGCAGAAGTTGGAGTATGGAGGAGTGGGAGATGACACCACAGAACAGAAACATCAGGAACCCTGGCAGAAGAGTCACACAGTTGACCCCGGGAAAGCAGGTCTGCTTCTGGAAAGGCTGGGTCCCAGCCACCAACAGAGGCCACAACAGGGAGCAGAGAGGCAGCTGGGCCAGGGGCCTGGGCTCTGTGCACATGCACAGCCTACCCCACACATGTACACACCACATACCAACACACACAGAGAAAGCTCATCCAGGAGAGGAACAAGAGCAAGCCATAACCAACAAGGTTGACTCTGAAGCCTGGGATGAAAGAAACTCCCATCTGTGGGAGGGTAATACGCAAAGTAACATTCATTATAGGAAGAACGTCAGTGGAAATAAACCTTAAGTACATCCCTAGAAACATCTCGTTTCCCTTTTAAGGGTATATCAGAAATTCATGACTTTCATGTTCAATTTCATTTGGCTTTTAAAAAAAACTGCTATGGAAATTAAAGACAAATTCTGCGAAGGATCACATGTCTTACCTTTTATAGCAGTTTTTAAAACTGTTATATCTGTGTATAGAGACGAACAAGAAGGTAGAAATTCCTTCTTTAGCACCATGGCTTCAATCCGAAGTGAATAGCTGAAAAATAAAAAAGTAAAACTGTAGAATTTGATGTCATTAGTTTAAAAATCTGTGCAAAGGCTAATGATCAGTGACTGTATCCTTACTTTGGAACCTGAATTAAGCCGTACAGAAAGGAGTCCGCCAGAGACAGCTTGGACGCATCACCACTAAACGCTTTTAATTTCTTTACCTAAAAGACAAATGGAAAACGGGGTAGATAAAATCACTTATGATTAAGATTATTTAAATTTCACCTTTGAATTCTTCTAAAAAAATAGTATTTTAGTGCTAAATTCAAATTAATTTAGAAAAGACAGAAAATGAAATCATCCCATCTGCTATTTGTTGTTTTTTTTTTTTTTTTTAAAGAAAAATACAGGCCGGGCGCGATAGCTCAAGCCTGTAATCCTAGCACTTTGGGAGGCCGAGGCGGGTGGATCACAAGGTCAAGAGATCAAGACCATCCTGGTCAACAAGGTGAAACCCCGACTCTACTAAAAATACAAAAATTAGCTGGGCATGGTGGCGCGTGCCTGTAATCCCAGCTACTCGGGAGGCTGAGGCAGGAGAATTGCCTGAACCCAGGAGGCGGAGGTTGCGGTGAGCCGAGATCATGCCGTTGCACTCCAGCCTGGGTAACAAGAGGGAAACTCTGTCCCAAAAAAAAAGAAAAATATAAACTTACAAATTTAAAGGTGAGGAGTTAGTGTCACTTATGTAGCTATAGATACATTGTCCTGTACAAACAGGAGAACAGGAGCCACTAGAATCCTCAGGTAGGTTACAAAAGGGAGTGACTAAAAAGGGATCAGTTCTAAGGATGAAAATGTTCTGTAAGCAGTAATCTGGAAATGAGATCACTGTTTTGGAGAAGAAATAAAAGACTACAGAGTCATTATAATATGGTCCTTTAAGTCATAAACAGAAAAAAAAATCTTATATTTTGAGTAATTTGTATACAAAATACTTAGACTCAGATTTTCTTTCTGTGGTCAAGTCCCACTTCACATGTAATAGCTTTAAAGGAAGAGACTACTGTATCTTCAGGTGAGTACACATATCTCCTCTTTGCAGGAAGACAAAAAGGAAAATTGCTTAAAGAACAGGAAGATAATGTTAAGATTGCCTCCAGGGACCCTGGTAGAAGAGTTGTACTGGATGCCTGGAAAGCAGGTCAACTTTTGGAAAAGGAGGGTCCCAGCCTGAGAAGACCAGGCAATAAAATAGCATGTACAGTAGGATGCCATTTCTATAAAGTTTTTTAAAAGGTACCTATTAACCTCCAACCTTATCATGTACACACCTACATACATAGGAAAAAGATGAAAAAGCCCCACATCTCCAGGTAGTGACTCATGCCTGAAATCTTAGCTCTTTGAGAGACAGAGGCAGAAGGATCACTTGAGGCCTGGAGTTTGAGACCTGCCTGGGCAACACACGGAAACCCCTCCCCCAAAAAGCCCCACATATACTAGGCGATATGATTACAGTTGTTTGCTGTTTTCTCCCATTGCTCATTTTTATTTTCTAAGATACCTACAATTAACATGATTACTCTTTTTTTGTTTATTTGTTTATTTTTTGAGACACGGTCTTGCTCTGTCACCCAGGCTGTAGTGCAGTGGCACAATCTTGGCTCACTGTAACCTCCACCTCCCAGGTTCAAGCAATTCTCCTGCCTCAGCCTCCTGAGTAGCTGGGATTACAGGCATGCACCACCACGCCTGGCTAATTTTTGTATTTTTAGTAGAGACAGGGTTTCACCATGAAGGTCAGGCTGGTCTTGAACTCCTGACCTTGTGATCCACCTGCCTCAGCCTCCCAAAGTGCTGGGATTAGAGGTGTGAGCCTCCATGCCTAGTCCAATTATTCTTTAAAAAATAAACTAAACTAAGTTTTTAAACACAATCAATGATTCCTTTGACCAATACTTCAGGAAAAAGAGAAGAGTTCTTACAACAGGTATATAGCCAAATAGCAAGAAGGTGAGAGTGGAGATGAAAGGAAAGTTTTCAAACAACATTAGATCATAAATCATGTCTTCCCCCGACACAGAACACTGGGCCAATCCCATGGCAAAACCACTTCTAAGTCCACTGTTAATAGAGTCATCCAGCAAAATTCTTTATGGTAAGTAGCAAGTCCTTTAATACTGTTAGTGAAGTGTACAGCCTGTCTTTGCAGCTAACTGTTGCCAGTAAGTAGCTAACACTTTGTATTATTCTCTATAAAGCTTATTCTCTTCCATCCCCTTGGTTATAATTAATAACATGATTTTAAGTTCCTTGTGAAATAGGAAATGACAATTCAAAAATATAAAGAAAGGAGTATTTGCAAAGATCCACAAACTGAAACATCTACCTCAATTATTTGAAAATATAAAATGTAACACTTCCAGTTCACATCCTAGTATTAAGTCTGACTCTTAAGACTATCTTCTTTTTTCAGGGCAGAAAATAGCCATTTACATAATTCCATTTCCCTTACTGGTAGAGCCACAAAGTGAATTGACCATTTTTAGCCTTATTAAATTTAAGGGCACATGGCACTGCTGGTTTAAGCCCAAATCAGTCCCTGGCTTCTGCACTGAGAAACCTATATAACGAATTCTAATCCCTTCTGAACCAGGATTTAACAATTCACTATATATGGGCAGGGGCAGAGGGAGGTTGAATAAGACCATATACACAGCACGTGTGAAGCCTCTGAAAATCACAGCATGGTTTTCAGTCTAAAGTGTAAGACCAGGTCATGCTAAGTAAACTTGGTAAATGTTTCTATTAAACATGTGCTAAACTGTAACTTAGCAATGATTAATCTCCTTCACTTACGTAAAAAGCTAAAAAAAAAAGTATGGATTTCAAGAGGCGGTGATAGATAGTATTTGATTTAAACGCCATGTATACAGTTTTTTGTTCCATTTCAAAACGAGATTTATGTTCTTTAAGAGAGATTATTGTATCTTCACAGTGGAAGGAAAATAAAAAAGAAAGATGAACATACCCTACAATTATTATGCATTCTATTATCAAAAAAGCATTTATTAAATATTGTTAGGCATAATTTTGTGGGCTGAGCCAAGAGACCCTCATTATGGCCCTAGTTGTGCCTGGTTGCTGTTGGAACAGTGACAGCGGGCTCCTCAAGACTCTCACACTCCAAAGGACATGCCTCCTTCACCCTATTTAATTCCAGTCACATGGCTTGAAATGGCAAGATTTCCCACAAACATAGCCACCCAACAGAAGACCTATGGGCTTCCTGTCATTCCCCTCCCAGCAGCAGAGTCAATGAAGAAGGACGTAAAGAGATACCACAAATGTCCAGCAGAGGCAACGCAGCTGCTTCAGGAGAAAAGAAAGTTTCTGCCATGTCTAGCACCAGCCCACAACAGAGGAAGGGCTGGTCAGGTGCGGTGGGGGGTTCCCTGGCTTGGGAACTTGGTGCTGGATAAGAACACACTCCCAGCGTTTCATTTCTGGGCCCAACTTCTAAAGTGTGAACCACACATTAGAGGAAAGATGAACAAACAAGCCAGATAAAATATTTGTGGTAGAGGGCAGAGAAATTTTCAACAACAAATTAACCTTGGCTTTGGTTGGCTTGTCAGCTGAGAAGGCAGGAGAGAAAAGGGCTGTTTCCGTTTGTATTTTTCAGCATGCTGATAAGATTACAGTATTATTCAAATGACACTTATTCACACCAGTACTTTTAGATAGCAGAGGTGATGAAAAGGCTGGAAGGCCAGCAGTGCGAGGCGAGGTTTTGAAAACCTTTGCCCTTCCTTCCTCCAAGGCAGGCAGTGGAGTGCAGCAGAAAGAACCACACTGGGCTCAACGGAATCAAGGCTCAAGTCCACCCGGCTGCTCTGTCACCCAGTAATCATGTGACACCAGACAAGGTATAACAAGCCTGTGTGAGCCTCAGTTTCTCATCTGTAAAATGACATTGCTGCAAGGATTACATGAAAAATACACGAAAGATTCATAGCTATGATTGATTAACTTTCTATGTGCCAGGCACTAGGCTAAGCGCTTTCAAAACATGATCTCATCTCACTTCATTCTGCCCTGTTCAGTCAGTGCCTGGTACATGGGGCCACTCAATAAATGTTTAGTCCTTACTTGTGCTAAAAATGAGCACAGAATGTTATACACAGGCTGAGTGCCATGTGGTTACGTGTCCACTTATGAATTTATTAGGATATTTCTGCCACATTCCTAAACCTCTCTTCTCTGGCGCTGCCTCCTCCTCGGCCTCATCTGCCTCCTCCAACCTCCATCCTGAGACCCAAAGATTCCAGGGTTGGCCCTGGGTCTGAGTAGTGCCAGGGGCCACAAAAAATTTGTCTTTGCAGTGGGCAGCAGTCACGGGGTGGCTTCCGAGACCCCCTCCCATAGCACTTCCTTTCCCTGAGACCCCCTCCCACAGCACAGTTACCCCACAGTGTTTAGAAAGGAGCTCCTGGTAGCCCTGGGGACTGTCAGGGTGTTCCTGCTGAAGGAAGCTCCCAGTTGAGTTTGGAGGGTGTGGTGAGCTGAAGCCCAGAGTCAGTAATGTAAACAAGGAGGCGAAGTGTGACCAAGCGTGCCAGATATTCAGACTGAGGATGACCCCGCAACAGGAGGTTGTGGGAGAAACAGCTGCTGCCTGGTTCAGTGGCTGGGAAGGCATTTCAGGATCCCAGGCCAATACTTCCATCTCAGCGAGACCCCACCTCCCGGGTTAGCTAACAGGGGGTGAGAAAGTCTCCAGGACTCAGGGCAGTGCCTGGATGGGTTTTCATCATCTTGCCCTCAACAGTCTTCGTTTTAATTATATCCCCCACACAACCCAAAAATTCAAAGTTCTTCTAAATAGGACAGGTTTGACAGCTTAGTTGCTTCTGTGAAAAACCCCTTTGCATTTTCTAATCACCTTTGAATTTTAAATGAGAAATGAAGACATTAAGAAGACTGTATTCAGTTTCCCACCTCACAACTGCATGAAGCTGAGCTGGCAGCCTCCCTTGTGCCTAATTTTCATTTAGTTCGCAATGTAGAGCTTTTCAGAGCACTTTCACATGCGCTGTCAAATTTGATCCTCACTTAGCAACACGATGAGGTCAGTTAGGAGTGGGTAGCAGAGAGGTACTAGAGGAGGCTTGAAAACAGCCCAAGCAGGAATAAGGTTTTAAGAGCAAGTGAATCGTTTTAAAACTCAAATTAACTTAAAACTAACCTAACAAGATTTTGGAAGATTAAGGACTGTTCAGTATGTACAATCCAGGGTAAATTATGATTTAATGTACCTTTCCTTTAAGATTTTAAGACTCTACTATTATTAACATTAATAACTGCCACTAATTAATCTTGGCTTGGGTTAATTACACTTAATGTGCAGAAAGAAAACCTGAGGGAGAGAGCGTTCCCAGGTTAATAGGTACAACTAGATATAACTAGATCTCTAGTTACTCACTAAGATCCTAAATTTGGCATTGTGAGTTTAACACTAATCAATGTAAAAGGAAAAAAACAATTATATCTCTCTTGTTATTAATGACACTAAAGTAAAGCTACATAAATTATGTCTGGGAAGAAGAGAGGGAAAGGGGAGTCAGAAGTCAGAAGTGCCTGTGAAAAGGGTAATGCACGAAAAAGTCACCCTTACTTTTTACTTTTAAAAGTTGGCCGGGTACATGCCTGTAATCCCAGCATTTTGGGAGGCTGAGGCGGGTGGATCACTTGAGGTCAGGAGTTCAAGACCAGCCTGGACAACATAGTGAAACCCCATCTCTAACAAAAGTTATGGGGGTATGGCAATGTGCACCTATAATCCCAGCCTACTTGGGACACTAAGGCAGGAGAATCACTTGGACCCAGGAGGTGGAGGTTGCAGTGAGCCAAGATCACTGCACTCCAGCCTGGGTGACAGAGCAAGTCTGTCTTGAAAAAAAAAGTCATCTATTACTTTTACTTATAATGTAAAAAACTTGGTAAGAGTCTATAGTATTTAGGTATTTTATAAATATGTATTTGTGTAATTTCTTACTGAAATTTTTCAAGGAATTTTTTCCTTAGAAATAAAGGCCAATATCACAATTTTGGAAGGTTTTATACAAGAGTTTTTCTGGTGTTTTTTTTTTTTTTTCTATCAAGCTCCTAACCATTCAACAATGCAGTTAATTCATTAAGTCCAAACAAAATAAATAAATTTATATCATCATAGTATGTATTACTATCACAACAATTTCCACCTTTGAGTTAACTATGTAGATAAGATTTTATTAACAGTTCACCTACCTCTCCAAAACTCTAGAGCATCTTTATTCAAAAATGATTGTTTTCATCTTTTTTAAAAAAGTATATGGATTATAAAATAACATGAGTTTATATTATGCAAAAGTCATCTTTAGATAACAGAAAAGGTATTTTTTTTTGATGATGATGAAAATTTATTGAGCTCCCATGTGCCAAGTACCATGTTAGATGCATAACTAGGGTTTCATCATCTTGACAATCCAATGAGGTCAGCATCATTATCCTCCTTTTATAGGAGAGGAAACTAAAGTTCACAGGAGTTAAGAACCTTGCCCCATTTTCTCAATTAAGGGAACAGCTCAAATATGAATCTAGATTCTCTGACTCCATAATATCAATGCTCTTTCTACCAGATCACTTTTTACTTTTATGTGAGAAAACTCCAGCTCTGGGTAGGACAGTGCCCTTCCCATGTGAGTTTTGTTTTTGTTTTTGTTTTGAGACAGAGTCTCACTCTTTCACCCAGGCTGGAGTGCAGTAGCGTGATCTTGGTTCACTGCAAGATCCACCTCCCGGGTTCAGGCAATTGTCATATCCCAGCCTCCTGAGTAGCTGGGATTACAAGTGCATGCCACCACTCCCAGCTAATTTTTGTATTTTTGGTAGAGACAGGGTTTCGTCATGTTGGCTAGGCTGGTCTCAAACTCCTGACCTCAGGTGATTCACCTGCCTCTGCCTCCCAAAGTGTGGGGATTACAGGCGTGAGCCACCACTCCTAGCCTTCCATGTGAGCTTTGATGCACTTATAAATATTAACCTTTTATAATCACTCCTAACATCTACAACTCATGTGCTGAATTTCTTACCTCTTCTGACTCTGGCAAAAACTTAAGAAATTCTCGCAAGGTCTCTAATCCATAATGCTCACTTTTTCCTTGATGAATATCTTCTACAATGGACCGAGGAGACCTTAAAAAGACAATGAATCACATTCCATTTCACGTTTGCTAGCTGTGCAAGCCAGTGGAAATTAAAACAAATCTCCTCCACCCTCTTTCCCACCCACCTCCTTCCCAGTCTGGATGGCAGTTTTGTGTGAGTGCTCATAACAGCCCCACTGCCTGGACACAGGAAACCTCAATACTCTGTTCAAGGTCCCTTCACCCAGAGCACCATCCTTGGGCATCCCCAAAAGCCTGAATGCGGCAACAACCACGGGGAGTCTCTTTTGTAGGGAGAAAAATAATCCCCTTTGGTCTCACTAAAACTCCTGCACAACCTTCTCCTTACACTTCAGAACACAGAACTCCAACTGCTACTTGACTCATCAGTTCAACCTCCACTGAAGGGGGGACACTAAAAGTGACTCTATAGAGTCCCAGGCTTGAATGCATGCCCTGGGGCAATTCTCCATCTACTCCAAGCCACTATGTTATGCTTCCATGAAGGAAAACAGCAGAAAGTGATGGTCACTTGCAGACTCATCAAGCCATGTGTTTAAGATTTGAAGGTGTGAGGAATGACTTTCACTCATATTAGAATTTGAATTTCAGCTCAGTCACACCCACAGATTTTGATACTGACAGCAGGGATATGACTGAAGTTTCAAATGTGTGCAAAATCTTACCTCTTAAATTGCTTAAGAAATATCCCAATGTTCATGCTCCGTTTTGCATCTAAAACAGTAATCTGGAAAAAAAAAAAATAAGAACACACAGGATTACTAAATTCAAATAAAAAGAGTTGGAGAAAGAAGATAATTAAAACCTATCAAATGCAACACTAATTTATAAAAGAATAATTCCCAATATATAAATCAGGTGATTAACAGATATTCCTAACATAGTTTTACAAATATTAAAAGATTATCATCTCCCCAAACTTTCTACAGTGATATTATATTTTCTTAAATGTAATAACACATACCTATTTTAATATTATATAACTTTTAATATACAGATGGTCCCAACCAATGATGGTCCATCTTATGATTTTCCAAGTTGACTATGGGCTTCTTGGGATATTAAATGCATTTTCTTTCTTTTTCTTTGAGACAGAGACTTGCTCTGCTGCCCAGGCTGGAGTGCAGTGGCACCATCTGAGCTCACTGCAACCTCTGCCCACTGGGTTCAAGCAATTATCCTGCCTCAGCCTCCAGAGAGTAGCTGGGATTACAGGCGTGCACCACCCACCCAGCTAATTTTTTTATTTTTTGTAGAGACGGAGCTTCACCATGTTGTCCAGGCTGGTCTCAAACTACTGACCTCAAGTGATCCACCCGCCTCAGCCTCTCAAAGTGCTGCGATTACAGGCATGAGTCACTATGCCTGTTACATTTTCAACTTACAATAATTTTGTCTTACAATGGGTTTTTATGATGCAGCCCCATCATAAATTGAGAAGCATCTGTAAAAGTCAGTCATCCTTCAGTATCCACAAAGGATTAGTTCCAGGACCCCTGGGGATACCAAAATCTGAGGATGTTCAAGTCTTCTATAAAATTGCATAGTACTTTGCATATAATCTATGCACAACCTCCTGCAAACTTTAAGTCATCTCTAGATTACTTCTAATACCTAATTTAATGTAAATTATGTTATATAAATGGTTGCTATACTATATTTTTAAATGTGTATTTTTTTTATTGTTGTATTGTTATTTTATATTTTCTCCTGAATATTTTTGATCCATGGTTGGTCCAATTTGAGGATGCAAAATCTGCAGTCATGAAGAAAGGTCTGTATAATACATACTTTAAACATTTTTAATTTAGCAATTTCCTCTTAGAATAATATCACCCGCACTTAAAAGCCCCAATTTGGAAATGGATGCTTTGGCCTAATGAGAATCACGTGAGATTTGAACTGAGAAAGTAAAAAACTCTGAAGATATTGCAGATTGAGTCCCAACCCTGACTTATGGATGCAAAAGAACCCATGAAGTCATTTTCAGAAACATCAATAAATTAATTTTTTTCTAAAAGAATAATTTCATTTCATTCAAAAAGCTTATATATGTCCAATAGACCTTTTAGGAGAGTGTGAGGTAGTGTCCTATATTTTATTTTCTCAAAAATTTAAAAAGAAAAATCTTGTCTATATGCATTTCACCAAGGCTAAGATATGTTTTTTATTTTTGCATTTTCCTGATCTCTGGAATCAAGATGTGTCTTATAATATATGGCATCTTTTTATTTAATGACATATGGTACAGCTATTCTGTCAAAACCCAGATTTGGGCTGCAGCAGGTTTTAACTGACCAAAATTTATTATTTCAGAGGGCTTTATCTGACTAGAAATTAGATTTTTTTTTGGTTATCAAATACCGAAGCCATTTCTGTCTCTGGATGTAAACATCCAGGCTGTGTGGAGGAAAGATAACCTGAAAACTGCTGCATTTTTTCCCCATTTGTTTTTTGGTAAAGGGAGACTAGCTAAAGTAGGAATGTTGTTGTAATGCTCTTCCTTTCCAAATGTATGTGATTCACTGTGAACAAAAGAGAATCAGGTTTCAGACTAAATTCCTCATCTCTGGGTCTGCTTGGGAGTTTATAACCAGCAGCAAGACTGTTAACCAACGTTAATGTCACTTCCTGGCTATAAGGTTAAATTTTTACAAGAGTACGGTTGCCTTCTTTTGAAGACAAATCTTTAACAATCACATTATTTACTAACCTAGGGATTTGTTTCATGTTAGCACAATCACCTGCCAGCCATAAAATAAACTCCCAAGCTGAAAGGGCATCCTCCTTATTGGAATCCTATCCAGCGACTACAGTTCAAGTTCAGTGTAAGGGAGGAGAGAGGAGGAGAGAAAGAAAGGGTGAGAATAAAACCCGTCAAACTCAACACCCTTCAAAAGCTCATACCAAAAAAAAAAAAAAAGGAATCCCAATTTATTAAGACAGAAAACTGGGTTTAAAGAGACAGGCGCAGTGGCTCACGCCTGTAATCCCAGCACTTTGGGAGGCCAAGGCAGGCGGATCACAAAATCAGGAGCTGGAGACTATCTGTCCAACATGAAACCCCATCTCTACTTAAAATACAAAATTAGCCAGGTGTGCTGGTGTGAGCCTGTAGTCCCAGCTACTCAGGAGGCCGAGGCAGGAGAATCACTTGAACCAGGGAGTCGGAGCTTGCAGTGAGCTGAGGTGGTGTCACTGCACTCCAGCCTGGCAACAGAGTGAGACTCTGTCTCAAAAAAAAAAAAAAAAAATCCTGGGTCTATTATAATTCATAAATTAAAAGGCCACACATAAGAATCTGTCTATTGATATAGTTACATAGCATGTCCAAGGAACTTCCTCTGCATTCACCTAGGATGGAGAAATGACTTGTTTTGTATTTCTTTCATTGAAATACCACCTTCTGCTACATTTAATCTTTGACTGCAGTGCTCTCCCACTCCCCAGGTGAACCAAACCCCACACTCATCAACCCTCTGGGACCCTCTTCACTCAGCCAAGATCCAGAGACATTGCTGCTGGAAAGTGATGGAGAAAATTACTCTTACGATCTCTGCTGGACAGGTAAGGAAACTGAGCCTCATAGACATCATTTTATAACTTTCCCAAAGCAGTGTTGAACTGATACATGAGCCTCGGTCTCTCTGACTCCTTTTCACTCTAGTTTCTGTGAGTCTTCATATTACTGAGCTTCCTACAGAGATGTAGCCATTTCCCCACCAGCATGGTGCTCACACTGTGAGGTTTTTCCAGGAATGGGGGCAGATGTGTAGGAAGCTATATGTGTGCCTGGCCAAGTCCCTGGTGACCCCAGAGCTGTATCTGAGAGATGACAGATGGAAATCATGTTCTCACCAGGCAAGAGAGCCTCGATGGCCCTGCGCCCTGGCCCTGTGACAGGAGTAGCCCATGGTGCCCCAACACAGGGGCAGCCCAGGTGTGGAAGCAGGTGTCTCTACAGCTAGCTCTGTGTCAGAAACGAAGAGAATTCGGTGATATTCCTAAGAGAAAACCTGGGCTGCCTGTGACTGAGCACCTTACAGGAAAAACAGAGCAGAGCCCAGCACTTCACCCAAACAACATGAAAATGGAGACAACTGATAGCAATCGGGGGCAGTCCCACACACTCCTGGCATCCTCAGGTTTGCCTGGTGCCTGAGGAGTCTCTTTCTCTACTTTATCACATTGGAGGCTTTCAAAGCAGTGTTATAAGAGTGATTGTTGAAGTCCTTTAAAGAGGGTTATCACTACATGTGTAAATTAGCTTATCTCACTTCCCAAATGTCTGCTGTCTCAAAGCCGGGCCATTCAGAAACAAAGCCGTGTCCGGTTGGGTAATGTTTTGGAATCATTTAGAACAGAGGAATCTGCACATGGGATCCCAGTGGGACTCACTGGGCACAAGCTGACAAGTCAGAGGCAAGAAATTGCCTGAAGAAGAGGGATAAACAAACCCAGCCAATGAGTGAGCTGCATCTTTCCCTCCCTCCCACCAGCTCCAATCAACAGGTAATTACTCCTCTGGTCACACCAGGAGTTGGAGGCAGGACCGCCAGTGAAGTCAGCGCCACAGGTACAGGCAGCGTACTGCACAGTTCGTTAGCTCTTCCCCTAAAATTCCTAGCAAAGAATGGCAAACAAGGCAGCTAGAAATGTAAGGTAATGAGGTAATTAATGCACTCAACGGATTTTAAGGATTTCCTACTAGGATGCGAAGGGGGCTTGGGCTCTACTCGCAGTTTCCCCACACAATTGCCAGGTGGCCAGGGTTGTTCTGATACCCACTGAAACAGCACCACTATGCCACTCAGTGAGGCATGCCAATGGCTACACAATCACTCTTGCTAAAACTTCCACATCAGCTCTCCTAGTTTATTCCACTATAACTTTTGTCGTTGCAATTCACTTCATCAATCCACTATAGAATCTGCCTTCTATATCCTTTGAATGAAGAAGAAACATTTTTTCAGTTGTAGTAAAATACAAATAACCATTTCCATCATAACTTTCTTTTTTAAAAGACAGGGTCTTACTCTGTCACCTAGGCTGGAGTGAGGTGGTATGATCATAGCTCACTGCACCCTCAAACTCCTGGGCTCAAGCAATCCTCCCGCATCAGCCTCCTGAGTAGCTGGCACTATGGGTGCATGCTACTACATCTGGATAAATTTTAAGACTTTTTTTGTGTGTGTGTGGAGATGAGGTCTCACTGTGTTGCCCAGGCTAGTGTTGAATTCCTGACCTCAAGCTATCCTCCTGTCTTGGCCTACAGAGGGGCTGAGATTACAGGTTTGAGCCACCGAGCCTGGTCCACAACCATTTTATTATTATTATTATTATTATTATCATTACTGAGATAGGGTTTTGCTCTGTTGCCCAGGCTGCAGTACAGTGGCACTATCTTAGCTCACTGCAACCTCCGCCTCCTGGGCTAAAGGACCCTTCCTGCATCAGCTTCCTGGTAATGGGGACTATAGGCGTGAGCCACCATGTCTGGCTAGTTTTTAAGTTTTCTGTAGAGATGGGGGGGTTCTCACTAAATTGCCCAGGCTCCACAACAACTTTTAAGAATACAGTTCAGTGGCATTCAGGACATACACACTGTTACATAACCACCACCATCTTCTATCCTCACAGCACTTCATCTTGCAAAACTGAAACTTTGTACCCATTAAACAATTAACTCTCGGCCCAGTGTGGTGGCTCACATCTATCACCCCAGCA